TATATATTTATATCATCGAGCTGAAATTAATCATTGCATGTAAAAATTAAATGAAAAAGATAACATAAGGGTGCATCTCACATTTTTTATTCTAACGTAAGAAAAAAATTTCCTATTGCACAGGAAAACCGGAAGACATTTACTGATGCCCCTTCTCATACCGCTAGAGCTAATGGGTTGTCTTTTTTTTTTTTCACAGAAGGAACCCAGAAAGCGCAGAAAAAACGAGCACCTTCTGAATCTCTCGGATGGCCGTCTACTACGCAATATTACCATCCAAATACCATTTAACACAAGTTTGGTTTATCTCGAAGATGAATGGCGTATTCCTTATCTGCAGAGTCAGCATACGTACACTGTATGAGTGAATCGTTTTAAAGATATTTATGTGCATTGATGGTGTGCATTGATGGTTAAGGAAAATATAAGATAATCATGTATCAAAAACAGCTAAGATGTTCTAATTGCATTGCATGCCATGATCAGGGTAGTGCAATACAAGAGATATTGTGAATTTCTCTATTTTACCGATTTCTGTGTTAAAGGTAGGCAAGGGGTGTGCATTTGCAAGTCTGTAAATGGAAAGTTAACCGTGGGAATTATGCGTAAGCAAGTTTATAAATGAAAGATGGGAACAAACATCAATCAAACAACTGGATCTAAGGTTCAGGCTCTGTCCTGGAGGTATTTCTTGGTTATTTACAGACACTAGACACTTGCCAAGATTTTTCAGATGGAAAGATCCATCTTTCTCCATATTTATAATTGCCTGCATGTCTGGAAGGAGCAAAGAGAAGATTAAAGAAAAAAAACAGCAGGTCAAGAGGAGGGAAAAAGTAGAGAGTTTCTGTTCCCAAATTATTTACAAGATGCCTACTTGAATGAAAACAATGAAACATTCTGTTGTGAAAGGAAAAAAGTATACGAGTACTGTTGCAAAGATAATATTAAGTCGCTGCAATTCTAACCTGTCGTCGAGATACTTTATTAGGCCGTCCTTCTCTACCCAAGTCAATGTCAACAGAAAAATCTTCTGTTGCTCTACCAAGCAAGACCTACAAGATATTGGGAAGAAAATATTAGCCATGATAATGGAAAGTTACTAGATGCTTGGTCAATGAGGCCAAACTAATGAGGCTACATACTAAGAAAATTACTTGAATGAACAGAACTTATTACTGCACATGTTAGTCAAATCAGGAGGTAACATTTCAAGCAGAAGACTGGCTGAACTTAAGACAATACCAGCCAACTCAAAACGCCTACTAACATTTGAATACCTCAGGTTTTTTGATATAATGTTTTGAATGGCGGCCATACAATATGGCGAATGCTCCATGAGATGCAATGACCCTTTGCATGTAAGAACAGGCACACTGCTCCAGCCTTATAATTCCCCTTTTAGTGTCCTCATGCTGATACCTTGCAACTGCAGATATAGGACAAGAGAAATTTAACTGCTATATGAAAAGACGATATATGTATATTTAGTTCCAGCATATTTTGTACCCCACAATTAAGGCATTATAATTGAACAAAATGAAAAAGAGAGAGGTACAGAAGCAGAAAAGGACATAGAACTACACTGTGATTGCATCTCTATAAGTTAAATTTACATTACCAACTGCAGATGGTTATCAAATTGCTAGAGCAGAACCTTTGGCAATAGGAGTGAAAGATGAAAATCTAATGAATACAAGGTAGACTTATTACCTTCCTGATCATATAAATTGTGGTCTTCTGGATCCAAATCCATATTGAGCACCTGAGATTTAGAGATAAAAAAAAATGACTAGAAGAGCCAGGAAACCATGACAACCATATGGATAAGAGTTGAGATTTACCATTGCCTCAATATCTGAAAAATAAGGTACATCATCATCATCACTTAGAAGGGGTAACTCTTCTAAATCTGTTGAAGGTTCAACTACTGGTGTAGAAATTATATCCACAGGTTCGGCTTCTGAGGCTTGGTGATCTTGACTTGGGCTTCTGAGGCTTGGTGATCTTGACTTGCTTCAGAAGCATCAAATTCCTGTTTAATACAGTTAGCATTTGACTGCAGATAACTATTATGGCCATTAGAGGCAACTGCTGGCTTCTCCATCAAAGATTCAGCCAAATTATGGTTGAGATGATTTTGCAGAATGTTTTCCTTGCTTCCATCCTTCAACATTGAAGGTTGAATGGTGTCTATGATACCATCTACATAATCAATTTTAGTTGAATCACCACGAGAAAAGCATACACTTTTAGATGCTAAACGTGACGAGTCCTCAGGTTTAACCTTGCAATTACCAATCACATGATGTTGGCCCTTTTCTAGTTTCATCTTTGATCCTATTACTTGAGAAGCAGCATGAGGTTGTCTAAAGCCTTTTTGATCTCTCTGCTTCAGGACTGAGCCTCTTTCAGTAGTTTTTTGACTGCCAGATGAATGCTTAACAGATGCAGATGATGGATCACCAGCTTCTTTGAAACTCTGTTGTGCTGATGAACCTGAAACTGTTGGCAGCTCACTGGGGAAAATAATATCATCATTGCATGGAATTTCTATATCCTCAATGTTCAATGTGCAACAAATGACACCATCAGTCATCTCAGGTGGTTGACTGTTTGAAGCTGATGTAGATGTTGCCAACTGGACCTCTGAACTGAAACCTACATTCCCACCTCCAATACAAGAACCCCCATTGTTGTCCAACTCCCCAGGGCATGCAACAGGTACATTTGGTTGATCATTTTGTGTTATCTCCTGTTCAGTTATTTCAGGAATGTGGTTGTGATTACCATTTGGTGAACTTAACAGAAGTGAGCTCAGATCATCATAGTAAGACTTCTCCATCAGATCTTTTCCATCAACATCTATGAAAAACGGCTCATCATTTAAAAGAGTATTGGTTATTTCCACCAGATAACCTTCTGTGCTTGCAGTTTGATCTTTAATTTGATCACATAGCATCTCTGAGTTTAACTCAGACACTGTGTTGCCAATAGTATGTCCTGATGCACTGTTGTTAGCACCACTGACATCAGGGAGTATACATCTGTCTTGTGCACATGCATCTTCTTCTCTAAGGCACTCATTGACAGTTAGCACAGAAGCTGACAAACCTTCATCTTTCCAGATTGACATATCAGGAAGTGGGGATGGGTACTCCAAATTTTGGAATGATGCATCACATTCTGCAATTGGTGAGTTGAAAACTTGGTTCTCTTCAAACTCAGAACAGACATTGACTGTGCCACTGTTAATTTGATCAAACGTAGATATAGATTTCATCATTAAATCATCAGCTTGAAACAGGTTGTGCACAGGCAAGTCCCCTCTGTTGCCAGAGTCCTCAATGCCAGAGCCATTCCGGTCAAGAGTACTGTTCTCCCCAACCATATGAAGCATATCTCCTTGTATATTAACTGCCTGAGCTGAAAAATTACCTTCAATTTGGTTATGCATTGTTGTATGAAAGACATGGGCAGTGCCGTTATGGCCAGTTGCAGCATCACCATTAGCTAAAACTTGTGGGAAGGCACAATGCATGGGATCCAAATTTGTTTCTTGAAATCCCAAATGGTTAGAGATTGCTTCTCCTAGCATATAGTTTCCAGATTCATCTCCATTTCCAGACTAATTGTTTTCGCCAGGTGCAAAAAGGAAGCCCAGATCCAATGAGTTAATGGGCTCATTGCAAATTCTTTTACGCAAAGCATAGTAGCAGGTACGGACACTCTCGGATTTTCTCTTCCCAGACAAATTTTTGTTTTCCTTTGAATTGCCTGATCTATTGAATTTTGATGTAGTAGCTGAAGAAGACCGTTCAAAGTCATTCATGTGAGATGAAGCCTCCTCAGAAATAACTGGATCATAAAGAAGAGAATACCACTGATTTTGCAGTTCCCAAAAAGTGAATTTTCAGGAGAATTGCACTGCACTTTTGGCAAGAGATTCTAAGGAGGCACCAGCCTGCAAAAAGATGATTAAAATAGAAAACATAAAGGTTTGAGAAGCATACTTTAGAGAATCATAAGTAACACAAGGAAAATATAAGTTGGGAGATTAATTTAAGAACAACAGATTATGTTGAATTGATTGTCATCATTTAAAAGGAAGAATCATGACATGCAAGTCACTTGCCTGATACCTTCAGAGTTATATCTTACATACTGATGTATCTTACATACTGGGAAAGTCAATGGTCTTTATAAAAAAAATTCCATTTGAAAAACTAAATTTCATAACATTAATCTCTCTAGCAGTCAACATCAAGAGTAACACAAGACAAAGACTATAGTGAGTGTAAATCATTGATGCCTAAAGAGCCATCACAAGAATGTTAAATTATTCAATATATCATTTTCACATTAAAATCTAGATATGGTTGAGATATATAACTCTAAAATTTTAGAAATTTAAGTTTTTCAAACAACTACTTTTAAATGCATTATTAAATTGATGTAACAACATCAGGCACATTGACACATCTATGTTTTCGATTGTGTCAATTTACATGAATGCCCAAATAAAAAAATAACCATACAGCTATAATTAGATATTAGCAACCTAGCATGCAGCCAGCTATAAATTTTGGAATTCAGAAGGAGACAATGGTGCTTATATTCATGAATCTTTGTTCTAGAGATGCAATGTAGAGTAATCTCTCAAAAATTATAAAAAAAGAAAAAAAAAAAAGAGCACTTGCATTTACAGATAACTATATTTTTTATGATGCTAGAAAGTATAATCAACACTGTTGGGCCTACTATCCTCCAAATTTGACATGGTGAGTCAGCTGACATGGTGAGTCAGCTGACATGCTGCAAATCCAAATCTTTACTAAACATGGGATCCTAAAAATCCAACTACACTTGTTGGATCCAGTATATGGCAAGAGATGAAATATAAAGAACCACAACTTTTGCAACATCTTAATTCAAGGTTTGCAACGGCATGCCTCTGAAACAATCACGGCGGATAACTTACAAATATTAGAACCCTTGAACTTGATACAAGTCAGATTTTCTTTGTCAACATGCATATGCTAATTATCGGTCATCACATGCCATAACTGATACTTCAAAAGAAAAACCCAGATTTTAAAACCCATAAGAGTTAAAACATCCCACATTATCCCCTAGTATAGCACATTGATTCATCTAGGGAAATTAAAACATGCATTCTGTAAGTCCATAGCCAAACCAGAGAATAAGAACTCAAGAAAACACTATTATTTTCCTATTTTCTGTTTTTCTTTTACAATCAAACACCAATTTCACCCTCCGAGCCTTCAAAATAAAGCTAATTCAACAATATAAAAACAAGAAAAAGTCCTAGAACCAAAATTGGGTCAAATTCATAAAAAGGGTACTCAACAAGAAGCAATCTTGGAACATAAATAAGCTCAAAACACATGAATGGTTCTCAAACTTTACCTCAATGGCGTTCTTCAACAAAAGGTCATCTTCTGGAATCCAGGAGGAGACTGGAGCTAAAATCCCCATCTCCGAAGCTAAGCAAAAAAAAAAAAAACAAAAAACAGTAAAGAACCCCCCTTGACTCCTCCTTGTTTCCCCTTTCAAGAATTCTCCTCTGAAATCTCGTTTCCTTTTTTGTCCAGTGGAGAGTGAGACGCGGAAACTGCAGATGAAAAAAGCAGGTGGGGTTTTAGTTAGAGGAAACGTTTCAGAAAAGAACCAGGTGGGTGGTGGGGTTTAGGGGAAGGAGAGGTTATTGTGGAACGTGGGATTTGGTAGCTTTAGCTCAGGTGACTGCAGGGTTGACGGAATTTACATGAAATCTGTGTGGGATCGGCGCACGTGCGATGAAAAAGATTGAAAATTTCGCCGGTAATTTATTCGGCGGTGGGAATTGTATTTTATTTTATTTTTTTCAAAATAACAGTAAAACAATGTTTTTGTTGGTTGAAAAAATAAATAAAATAAAATTTAATGCCAACTTAATGTCTGAGTATGGAAATTTCAATTTTGGACTTGTAAGGCCTCATAATATAACCATAGTCTATAGAAAATGGTTTAAAAGTTGATAAATAAATATCATTTTAAAACATAATTTGTGTTAAAATAAGTTTGTGAGAAATTTTAATTTTTTAAAATGATTAAGTTAATATTGAGTACACTTTAAAATCACTCAAGTAATGATCAATAACAATACCCTAATGGTCTGTTTGGTAACACGAATTTGAAATAATGTATTTGAATTTGAGGAGTTAAAATTTAATATCATTGTTTGTTTTTATGTAAATAAAAAGTAATTGAATTTGAGTGAAATACATGTATTTTAACAATGTAATTCCCAAGAATAAAATATGTGTATTTCAATTTCACCCTAAAACCCCTGAATTTCAATTTTGAATTGAATTTGGTCTGCACTCTCTCTTCTCACCGACGGCGATGAGAAGCGCCACAAATTTCGAAAGTTCCCGCTTCCCCCCTCTCCCAAAATTCCTTAGAATCTCACTGTTGTTCCCTAAGATGGCTCGTACTAAGCAAACAGCCAGGAAGTCGACCGGAGGCAAGGCGCCGAGGAAGCAGCTTGCCGCCTAGGCTGCTCGTAAATCAGCACCGGCCACCGGAGGAGTGAAGAAGCCTCACCGTTTCAGGCCGGGAACTGTGGCTCTGAGAGAGATCAGGAAGTACCAAAGCGTACTGAGCTCTTGATCCGAAAGCTTCTGTTCTAGAGCCTTGTGCGAGAGATCGCTTAGGATTTCAAGACCGATCTCAAGTTCCAGAGCAGTGCAGTCGCTGCTCTCTAGGAGGCTGCCGAGGCGTATCTCGTGGGGCTCTTTGAGGACACCAATCTCTGTGCCATTCACGCTAAGAGAGTCCCCATCATGCCCAAGGACATTCAGCTTGCTAGGAGAATTAGAGGTGAGAGGGCTTAGAGGCGTGGTTAATCAATGTAATCCAACGGATATCTGACTTTTGCATTTGCAATCGATTTGTACCTAGAAATCTCCTACTATGTGGCTCCATTTTTATCTTGAAATGAATGTGATATACGTCTGTAGAAATGGGATGCTTGGTTGAAATTTGTTTTAGTTCCTAGTCCATGCCCATTGTGAATATTTCTCTATACATGCCCAAAAATTGAATTGAATTTCAATTTTTTTTCTTTTGGTTATAGGAAGGTTGAAGGTTGATTTCTAGTTCTGTTAATTTATACAGCAAAAGAAAATGGTATGTGTTTGGGCAGTTTCGTAGTCCAACACTGTTGAAATTCTCAGCTGCTTCTACACCTGAAAATTCTGAGGATGTTTTCTCGGGGAAAACACTCCGACGCTCAAGTCAGCAATACTCAATGTTCTAGAGAGAGATACTAAAGTTCCCAATTAAGGCTAAAGTTCTCAATAAAAATCATCTAAATACTTGGTTTCGCTATGTTTGACTAGTTTACTGTTGATGATGTTTGATGCAAGATATATTCCTTTTCAACTTTCAACCTTAACTTAATGGTTTACTTCAAAGTCTTCAACGAAAAATATCATATTTCTATTTCATTTTGCAATTAAGGAATGTTATCTCAACTACCTTGTTAATGAATATAGTTGTTC